TCTAGTTCGGTTATAGAAGAGAAAAAGAAGGCTGAATTATTTTCGACCACTGTTAGTGATTCGGAGACGTTAAGTAGTGATGACGATTTTTTGTTGGTTCTTTGTTGACCAGTTGTCCTTTATCGGAGATTTTGAATCGTTTTTGATTATTGCTATATCGATCGAATTATGATTGACTTTCAAGCATTTCTTGTCTAGCTTTTATTGCTGCTCGATCGTCAAGATCTAATCTACTAAGTCGTGCGATGAATTCTTCGAGTTCGAAGTGTCGTTTTCAGAGTGCACTCTGTATCGTTACGTGTGATTAGCATATGCGATAGATTGAACAGGTAACCGACGATATAATTGGTGGATGCATCAACGTAGGTTCAAGATATGTCGTAGAGCATCTGTGACTGTGAGTCGATCTCTTCAGCGTTCACTTTGAGAAGGCCTACATAGAAGAGCCATTTATCTAGTATGAATTATTCTCTAAGTGTTTGATCTACTTGGGTAATGGCAGGGTCTAAAATGTCACTCAAAGTAATCTTTGCACGTGTCTAAAACTCAGCAAAGAACACGAACATTTGGATCAATTGTTCTCAAATATATGCTAATAGATGAAGAAGTTCGCGAAGAAGTTCGAGAATCTCCTTGTAGTTAATACGGTTGATGTGTAACGAGGCCACTTTACTCATCAATTTGAGTGATTTTTTATGTCTTCTTTACTAAATCAAATAGTTTATCATACAAACTCTAGCCTGATTGCAATCAGTACAAGGAGAATTATGCAACAAACTTTTCATTTTGGGAAGAGTTACTCATTTCAGTCGATGTCTCTGCGAGAGAAGGTACACTGGCGCCATTCATTTTCTCTGCTGTTACTAATGGTTTTAACATCTTCAATCATTTTATCAAAACGACACTCTAGATTTGCGATCACATTTTTTTTAAATACTATTTTCGATGTTCAAGAATTCTTTAGTGAGCCTGGCGACCTCAGTGAGAAGATTGATACCTTGTGGAATAATTTCACTAGTTTGTTCCTTCAAATGACTTACTTTTCCCGCTGCAAGAAATGACAGAAATGTTTCGAAAGTAACTTTGTATGCTTCCAGTTCTTCATTAGAATTATTCGGTGTTAACTCAATATTATTGTCACCATTGAGAATTTGCTTGATTCTTCGTAAAGATTTATTGAGATTATCGGAGAATAGTTTGGCAAAAGTTAACGTCTGTCCTGAGACCTGTAACATAGCAGATTGAGTCATGAATCCAGCCATGACATTAACCACGCAGTTCATGCCAACAAAAGCATTTGGCGGCGAGAGCTTGATCAGCCGTCGTCATCGTTCCAGTTATAGCATGTTCTAAGTCGAATAGGAGACTTGCGAAACCAGCAGGAGTCTTTCAAAGAGCACATCTGTACTTTTCTAGCATTTTACGAATGCCTTCTCGTGCCTCTTCATAGTGTGAGCGAATCGTTTGGCTTAATTCAGTCAGTTTTTTTTTCATGATTCACAACATATGCATTTCGATTTCTGTTTCTCCCAATTTTGTCTCTTGCAGTTCTCGTGCCGTCTCTATGGTAGCAATCACTTTACTGAATACGCTCATCACAGTGTCAAAGCTGGCATGAGTCATATTCGCCAATGCCACACAAGGTTTAAGAAGTTGTTCAATTGTAAGTAGCGTAGTGAACAACAACATACTGGTAATTTTAGGCGTAGACTCCTTCGATGCTAACACACGCGGGTGTGGGGTAGACGTGTGTAGATGTCTGTTGATTTGAGGTGTGCGAAAGTGCTGTGCAGGTGTGGATGCAACAGTGGCTGTAGGGTATGACGGTGTATGTGAGAGTGAGTGAAGATGCATGAATGTGGGTGCGGTAAGCAGTTGTGCAAGGGTGAAAATAAGATAGTCACCCACCCGTACTTAACACTCAGATCAACACCCACCCATAATAACGAAATAATCAAGTTAGGTCTGAATGTATATTTGTTAAGTTCTATGTGATCTTCCATGAAAAATGGGACAATAGTAACATCACAGTTCTATGGTGACTTCAACACAAACTGAAAGCGAGTTTAGTGTTCTTTTATTTTCAAAATTCTTCCTGTTTTTTTTTTATTTTTGTTTTCCACATGAATCATTATCAACATCATGTAGGAAATCCTGCCTGTTGTGTGCATTCTTCTAAGCGATTTTCGACACAATCAAATAACGTTTCGGTTACATCATCTTCAATTTGACTTCATTCTTCCACCAACATTTTTTTTTGAGTTCTTTTCGTTTCTCAATGTTGATGTACATTTTTGAATACGATGATCTTATTCATCCTACACATATTGAATGAAGTTTTTATCAGGACTTTGAGATAGTTAATTCAGACGTTTGACACCTTTCTCATCAAGCCATTTTTTCATAACATGTGACCTATGTTTGGTGTTATTGTAATGTTAAAAAGAAACTCGATCCAAGCTCCATTTTTTCTGGCTAACGAAAACAGATTTTTCTTGAAAATATCTTTGTATCTTTCACGCGTTAAAATTTCGTCAATAAGCACTAAATTGTTTACGTCTTGCCTTGTAAAATAAACCCATGATTTCTTACGTTCCCCTTGATATTTAACTGTTGGAAATGTACAATCTGAATGGAATTCGTTGTCGACTTTTCTCCGTCTCATCAAGCTCCCATCAGAAATAAATGAATTAAACTTGATTTCATCAGACCATATCAAATTTCTACGGAAGTGATAATCTTTTTCAACGAACTTCGCCGTATAGATCAACCGTTTTCGTTTGTTATTAGCATTCATCAATGGGTTCTTTTACATGCTACCTTTCCGAAATATCTGATGTCGTTCATTCGATGTTTGATTGTTGGCGAAAATATTTTTATTATCCATAGATTCTCTAGTTTAGCTTGCCACCATTGATAATGATTTTCTTCTCTCAAAATGCAATATTTTCGGTAGATTATTGCGTCATTTTGTTGTGCTCTTTCTTCTGCCACCACCAAGGAAATGTTCACCAGCTTGATACATTTCATACTTTTTGACCATTGACTGAAAGGTTGCTCATAGAAGACTCGTATATTTGATAATTTTAACTAATCAATCTACATTTAGATGTTGATTGATTACTAAATTTCTGAATTCATCAGAACATCCTTTAGGGCTTGGTGACATGAAACAGTTTAGGTAACCGACAAGACAATATTTTGAGCGACAGATATCGGACTAAAAGCTTACAGTATTTGGAATTGAATTAATTTTCACCAAAATAATAAATGATTTTATTTACGAGAAATAACTTCGAAAAATGAAATATAGCATGGTTCACGAACAGCTGAACCATGAGAGCAATGAATCATCGGTAAGAGCTATAGAGGATGTAATTTTTGGTTTATAAGAATACATGTGTCTGACGGAAGGAAAAGAAAAAATTGACGATGCAGATTTGTACACATAAAAGATAACGGATAGTAGAGTGTTGATATTGATAAGAAAAGAGAGCATTGATTCAGTTTGCTGTATGCTAAGGAGATAAAAAAAATCATTAAATGATATATCCCGAGGAGTATGGGTGATTGCAACTGGCACTTACACCCATACCTTCACTAGTACAGCTTATATTGTTCATTATTACGATCTATCATATGTGTGTTTAATGAACTTGATTATTTACATTCTATTATTGATGACTATTCATTTTTTATGTAGTGTTTATGCTAATATCTTTTACACAGCAGGTAATTGTCCTAGAAGCGAGAATAAAACAAGACTTGAATTACTTTCTTAATTGTAGTCGATGCTGTCGTAATGCAGTAAACTCATTGAAATATGAATTCGTTATTGATTATTCTTCTACTCAACCACCTGAACCTAATATAGTATATAAATTTATATCAATTATAACTACAACCGAACAATTTATATTCTCAGATTTCATACTCAATGTCAAGCTTAACTACGACACTCTTATTACACAATGAATAGTAAAACTAAAATTTGTCCAAAGCATCATTCATATCGTTCATTGACAGTATCCTAAATTCTAATTCGTTGAAATGTAGATTTTTTTTTAAAAGACATTTTTGTGATCACCAAAGCAATACGATTTCGAATCTCAATGTTATTTGTACAATTGGAACACGACAATGAGTTGAACAGTTTTAATAACAATAAAAAATGTTTCCAAACTTTATCTTACTGGACCTATACATGAAATGTTGCACTATATGAGCATCTTCATCTTCCTATACTCCACTGTAGATTCCACCGTAGTTTACAAACACGTCATATCCAAACCCACACTCACACTCCAAAGAAACATGGATGCCTCATCCACTTATTGTCAGGCTATGAAAACATCCGATGATATTTTACTACTATAGTAAACAATCTCTTTGAAAAGTAATTTGAATTTTATTCTTAATGGTAAAACCTGATGATTAAAATATTCTTCGCCATTCAGTATCATACATCTCAAAAACTCGACTACAGCTCTTCAAAGGAAAAAAATCAAATGATTGATATATGCATCAGTTTTTTACATCGCACTATAAATGGAAATGATCTATGAAGAGTTGTTCTTTAACTTTCAGCGGTGTGACTACTGAATTAGACTTGTACTCATTAACTTCAGAAGCTTTTAATGAAGTTAATTATACTATAGAATGAATAGTTATTTTACTCATCGTGTCAGAATGCATCTCTAAAAATAGCACAATAATTACTAAATCTACAGAAAAACGACAATAACAGCATATCGCCTTTTCCTTTTAAACAAAGCCTATTTTACTTTTATTCTCATTTGACATTTTTATATGACCATACTGATAGAAAATTGTAGATGTAGGACAAGTTTCTTTTATATATCACCTGGGTATACTTCTTTTTTTTTTACCTTGAAAATTGAGCAGGCGAGTTGAATTTACAGATCGTCATTCAAACCTAGTTATCATATCCATAATACTTTTCCTTTGAAATTATTTTTAACAAATTATCCGATTATACAATGACAACTAACGCCACCGTAATCACAATAACAGCCAGCACTCTATCAAATGAAGAATTGATCGTTGCCTACTATTCGTTAATTTTGATTATTGTGGGAACTTTATTCAATATTATAACATTCATTACTCTCTGCCGATCAGCGTTTAGAAATAGTAGAGCAAGACCAACATTTCATTACATGCGTGCAATGGCAATCTTTGATATTTTAATGTTATATGGATGGAATCTCGATCATTATCTCGCCAACATATATCAGTTTCATATTCTACGTTATTCCATAATATCCTGCAAATTTATTTCATTTCTCAGCTATTTTGCAGCTCAATCATCAGCTTGGCTTCGTGTCTTTGTCTCTCTTGATCGGTATTTATCATTGAGTCGTCTTCATCGAACATGGTTCGGTCAATCGAAGAATGTTCTTATCATAATTACATGCATCATCGGTGTCCTTATTCTTCTCAACTTTCATTTTTTTATTTTTGTTTGCTATTATAGAGCAGATGGTACGATTAGTGCTTTATCTTGGCTGTATGATGTCTATCCAATATGGGATTATGTTAATTTAGGAGTGTACAATTGTGCACCATTAATATTAATGGTTACATTCAATTGTGGAGTAATTTATTATTTGCTTCGTCTTAGACGTACCACAACCATTCAAAATTCTCGAATACAACATCGATCTATCTCAATTACACTAGTCATTACAACATTTCTCTTTTTATTTATGACTGTACCGTCAACTGTAGCTTTTGCATTTTTTTCTTCAGCAGATATTACTCTTTTACGACTCTTTGACTGTTTACTTTATTCACATCATATATTATCATTTCCATTGTATATGATTACATTTGATGAATTTCGACAAGAATTTTTTGACATGGTTACATGGAAGATAAACAATCAAAGAATTACACCGCAAACACCAAATGATAACAAACTATAGACTTTCAATATAAGAAAACATATGTCCAATACTTGAATGCATTGTTTCAGTCTTTATGCTTTTCTATGATGAAATCAAACATTTCTTTATCATACAAGTATATTTCTATATAGTTTGCTTCTTGATATACTCATATGTCATCGCTTTCTGTGTCGTATGTTGTCATCGAAATCTATTGTAATGTTTGTAACTAAAATTAAGTAGTTTTATTAAGAATTCAACGATTGCTTAATGTCTATTGTATTTAATGTTCAAGAAAATCAAAATCAAAATCAAATTAAGACTTAGCTCAAGTGGTAAATAAGAGAAGAGATTAATCATGATAATAGTTGCACGAAGTATGTTTACATACATGTTCGTTCAAAACGTTGAAATCACTTCTATCGAGATATTTATGATTTCGACAGCTGTTGACAAAAATAAACGTTTACGTCCCATCGTTCAGTTTAACTGAATAAGAAATTAATCGAGTAAGAGACACTGGAAACGAATTGACTTGTTTTCAACTGGATAAAACCGATTGACTTAGTTTTATTCATCGACTCATTGAAATTCTAGACTAAATCTGCAAAAACCCATTGTGCTCAATGAAAGAATTTGAACAATGAAAAATTGACACTTTTAATATAACTATTAGTCAGCTAGTTTTTTCAAGAAGAAACTTTTTTCATTATTACAGCTCCACGAAAATATACAGTTTAGAACTCATGCATCTCTTGAAGTTTCTAATAGTAACAACTTTCATTTTAGTCTATTGCTCTTCATATATTCTAAAAGTAAGAATGAAAAGCGAAATTTTTCATCTAGTAACTGGCAACAACTAATAAAGATATGATTTCTTTATAAATATTGATAAATTAAATGTTTTACTATTCGAAATCATTATTTAACAGAATTATAAAGCTTCTCAGATCATCTGAGAATAAACCTGCGGATATGAAGTAAAAATAATCTACAAAGTTCAATATTAAATATAGACTTTATATTTTCAGGTTTTCATATATCTAGACATCTGCATAAGAAAACGGGAACTACTGTGATATTTTTCTAATGAAAATATGTAATTAAACTAAAAGCTATCTATTCAGAGTTTTTGACAATTATTTACACGATTCCATAATGCTACCGTTATAAGTTCAAATCTAATCTTTTAACATCAAAATTGACTTAGCAGATTGGCTTCTCTTAAGTGAATGATTACCGCATTTCAAAAACCAATTATGTTATTATCATGGAAATCGTTTTCAGATATCTAGTCCTTGACTAAAGTCAATTATTCACTGTGACAAGACTTAACTGTAATTAAAAGTCACAATATTTATAGTTAAGCCATCAAACATTGTTATAGTTTTCGATACTAGCCATCATACAGAAAGAATTTCGATGTATATATATAATTAAATAGATTGTGATTCATGATATTTTTCATTGAATATGAATCATTCAACTGTCAATAGAGACCATAGTAAACTTCAATTTCCAAGAAAGTCAAATTTCTCCATAATATTTTATATTGTATGGTACAAACTGAGAATACTATTGCGACTGTCCAGATTAAATATCGAAGAGATATAGCAAAAATTTATTTTTACACATTCGATTGCAGGAATACAATCCCAGCTTGACCCAACGCAATCCAAAATTTTACACCCATATCTGACATGATCAAATTTTGGTGATCAGATCTAGACTTTGGTTTAGATCGCTTTTCTCTTCCACTGATAAGACCTTGATATCTTTTCGTCCTTGATATGTCAACGATATTCCACAGTTAAGACAACACAATTATGTGATAGAATTTTTTCTTGTTTATCTTTCTTTTCTTATATATACAACTTGTGACTTTTATATCACTATTGAACAAACAGTGCACTCTCATGAATCGTTGTCAAATAGCAATGAAGAGAGAAGTTGGTAGAGTGGAAGAAAAGATCGTGTGATACATAACTTCTTGTTCTACTAAGCTTTTCTACGCTCTCTTAGAGAACTTTTATATGATGAAAACATTCAAAATGTTTTTTTGTACTTGCAAAATATTCAGACTACAGATACATATCGAAATTGAAAAATTTTTTCGTGACCCGAATCAAGTATTGCTATACACATAATTTCTATGTTCGTTTGATAGTATAATCTATCTCATGCGCTCATGTCTTAACGCATCGCATTAAGTTTTCATAAATTTTTGTCATAGTCATTTTATTTGAGTTTTTCGGAAATTCGAACTTGCCATCTAATGTGTTAATATTCTTGCTCTATGCCATGAAATACGTATTATTTACTATTTTTAACAAACTCAATAATATTGATGTATTATATTCATTCATAGGAGTCCATTAAAAACTTGATGAAGTAGTCTGTGATATTAATTTAGTACGATATATTGATTTAGTAATAATGTCATCGAATGAAGATTTGAAATCAAAAACTAATTCAATACTCAGTTGATTCTGTTTTTATATAACATTTCAAATTCAACACAATATTGAATGTTTCACTCTTGAACTATTGTCAATAGATCATGTTCATTGCACTAACGACTGTCATCCTAAACTTCCTATGACAAACTCAGATCACTGAAGAAACATCGCTGCCAGCGAATTTGTGGTGTGGCTGTGAATCATCTTTTTAACCCACACTGCATATTATGAAGAAGAAAAACACAAAAAAAAATCAAAAACAATGATACAACTTGGGTTAATAATTAAGAAATCAAAGAAGACAGTCAATACAGACAAGTTACATGAGATTAGAAAAAAGTACAAAATAGAATTTTCTTCTTATAGTGGTGGTGGCGGTGGAGGAGGTGCTCTAGGTAATGGAGGTGTAAAAGCAAGATTATTATTTTGATAATATTGTTGTTGATATGCATTTTGATAATACATTGCAGCATTATATTGATTCCATTGTTGTTGATTTGAATAATTTTGTTGCTGTTGAGAATTTGACCATGATATTGGTGAAGGATTATTATTTGCATTTCCTCCATTTATCATTAAAGCTGGAATATGTTGAGCTCGATAAGAATCACGTTCAATATATGATGAATAATTATTATTATTATTATTATTATTATTATTTCGATTTGTTCCTCGTAAAATATGATAACCATCGAATACATCATTATTATTATAACGAGGACCTATTGAACTAAATGATGTGTTTGAATGACTTAATGGATTATTCGATGGATTATTATTTGGATTAAATGACATTAATGAAGGGGGATTCTAAAAAAAAAGAAGGTGAAGAATTTAAATACAATTTACTAATCTCGTTTAATATATTCAATTCTTAAATGTTATGTATCATGCAAATTAGAACTTCTGATTCATTTTTATGAAAATAAAACATAAATGTGATTGTACTTAATTTTTAAATTCGAAAGATGAACAAAACTCCAAATGCTCGATTCTAATCAATTTATTGAGTATTAGATTATAAGATAGATTCGAATGGAAAATTATTATTAAGTTAATAAATAATATATTAGAATATATAATGGGTGGTTCATAAACAATAGAAGAGTTTGATTTTCTGTTTTAACAAGAACAGAAACATTTTTCAAAGATACTATTATAAACTCAGTCGATAGAGTTTTTTCACTATACAAAAATGTAGACTTCATCTTTTTATATAAGTTCTTTTTGTTGAAGAACAATCGGAAGGATTGACTGTTGTTTCACTACCTAACTATTTATTTTTAACGCTTCTAGTGATGTCGTTCACGTACAAAAACTTGAATCTAACATCTGATGGTTTTCTGTTTTGAATGCGCTTTCGAAACTCATGTTTTCAAAAATTAATATGCTCTAGAATTTAAACCAAACAACAAAAATCTTTAGATTATCGTCAATGGCATAGAGCTGTCAGAAAGAGTTTTTTTCTGTCGTTTTCTAATTTTTTCGTTGAAATATTGCGAAACATCGCTAGATAGAGTATTTCACGGTGGAACTATTATTTAAACATATTTTTAAATAATTGTTTTGTTGTTTGACAGTTCTAATTCAATGACTGAATAACTGCCAATCTTTTCGATTCTCCTGCAAAAGGAAAAACTTATTTCAAGAACAAATCCGACAACTCCATAGAGCGAAAAATTTTCTATCGAATGAGCTTAGAATGATGTCTGCATAGTGTTCTATTCTTTATGAGCCACCGGTTCTAATGATTATTATCTATTTATGATGATATAAATTCAAGTTGCTCTTTTTCAAATTGACTCACAACATGTAATAAAGTTTATTAACAATAATCTTATCCTTACATGATTATTGTTCGTATTCATTGAACCATTACTATTAAATGAAACTGTACCAACTGTTGGAACAGTTCTATTACCATCGATTATTGATGAAGATGTTCCACCTGTAATAGCTAATGTAGGTCCAGTTGTTTTCGATCCAGTCATTAAATTTCGTTGATCATCTAATGATAAAGTATTTGGATTTGGATTTTTTTTACCCATTAATTCATTCATTAATGATTGATACTAAAATTGAAAAATAAAAATTCTTCTAAAATATATTTTCTTTATTTTATCATAAAACTAACTTCACAATCAAGTTTTTGTTGTTCTTGTCGATTTCCATTAATTGCAAGTGATGCTTCCGAATTTAATTCCGTATAAGCACCATCCGGTTTCTTACGAAATTTACAATCACTTGTTAAATGACCAGCTCCACCACAAACTGTACATATTATTGTATTTGTAACAATTTTTTCTGCTTCATTCATCAAATTCAGTTTACTATTACAAACAAATGAAATATTTTAATATTATTAAAGAAAAAATAAATATTTACATAAGACAATCATTTTCACGTAATGTTCCATTAAGTAAAGCTAATTGTCGAAGTTGTTGTTTACGTAATTCATTTAATCCTTCTGGTGCATCAATACTTTTATTTATTATTTCTTGAACCTGAAATATCAATTTTTTTTCTTCTAGATCTATAGAACAAATTTTTTTTCTGTGTTTACTTTTTCTACTGCTCTGGCAACTATTTCAGTTGAGCTACCAGTAATATAAGCATGTAATGGTTCATCTTCACCTGGCAATGGACCATGCTTAACTATACCCATTTTTCCATCTTTTACAGATCCTTTACCTTGAAAAGAAAAATATAATAGTTATAACTAAGAATCTATAGATAATGTGAATATTTACCTCGAATAATAATTTTTGCATTTGTCTAAATATGTTCAAAATAGTTTATATAAAGAAAGAAATGAATAGACATACCTCTTTTTCTAACATTTTAAGTGTATTACCACGTGGTCCAATGATTAAACCAACAAAATTTACATCTGGATGATCTTCTTGTGGAATCATTACTTTATCCGTATATTTCATTTGTTGAGGTCTAAAGAAATCCAATGTTAGTAAAACAAATAGAAAAAAATCCTAAGAATAATTTTGATAGGAATTTTTTTTGTCAAATAAGTAATTTATCATTTAAATGATACTAACTTATAATCTCCTGGAGGTTTATAATCTGGATTTAGTATAATTAATTCTGTAATAAATTGATGGCGTTGTTCTTCAATTTTACGTCTTGTACGAACTTCACGAGTATTTTGTCGTTTTCCTTGTTGATCATAAATTGGTTCAGGTGATGGAGATCTAAAATAATTAATAAATATTTTTCTTTTGTTTTCTACACACATATGAGAAAATAGCGCAGTCTACTGTTTAGAATACATTACAAGAATATAGAATAAAAAAAAAATAGAAAGATTAGTTTTTAATGTGTCAACCAGATAATAAGATAGATAGAGATTTATACTGAATATATATTTATATAGATTAATTTTTGCTCGATTTTATTTTCTCACCTTTCACTCGATTCAATTTTGATATACGATCAACGTCACATATACACAGGACGATAATATGAGAAAAGGAAGACCATTTTATTATTAGAGAAAAATTAACAATGAAATATAGGGTACATTTCTGTGTAGATCTTGTATATTAGAAGATAATTTGTGGCACTAAACAAAAAATAAAATTTTTTGTTTTATTATATGTTTTACCTAACGCAAAACAAAATATTCAAAAAGAAAAGTCATAATGAAAAAGGGAGAGAACGAGCCTTATGAAAAATTAAATGAATATGTAACAAATTTAACCTGTTTTCAGGATTGGATGAAATATTTAAGTCATTCATTTTTAAACGACGAGTTAATTCTTCAACTTGTAGTTGTACTGAACAAAAACAAAAACACAACAATCCTTTATATAAATAAAAATAAAAGTATAATTTACAAATATAGATTTTTTGTTGTCCTTCTGTCATATTCGTGGTTGAAATTGTTGTTGGCATATTAGGTAAAAAAACTTTTTCAGTTTCATCACCCATCCAACGTCGTTTGCGTGGTTTTCTAATTTGTGTATTCGAATTTATTGAATCAGCTAAAAGAAAATTTTTTTTTATTAATATTTTAAAATAAAATACAAAATTTGTACCTGGTGATTCATCTCCTGTTGGTGTTTTTATTGTTATTTCTTCTTCTTGTAATTCTATTTTAGCAGGAAAAGATGATGATAACATTACTGAAGAATTTTGTGACTTGTTAACTGAATTATTATCATTTCCATTATTTATTTCTTCTTTTTTATTTGAAATATTCGATGATAATGATGAATCTCTATCTTTAGATTTTCGTGATCGTTTATGACTTTTTTTGTGTTTTTTTGAAGGACTTCGACTACGCGAACGAGGACTACGAGATGGCATACTAAATGATATAACAATAAGAAAATGAGTAATCTATAAATACACGAAATGTATTATGGAATTAATAAAATTACCAAAAAAAAAAAAAAAACATTAATGTCTAGTATTCATTAATTTGCCTGATTTCCTCTTTTCTTAAAAATATATAATAGGTCGAACAAGCTCGTTATTGTGGTGTCGCTACAATGTAGTGCAACATTTATTCATAAAACATCTTAAAAAAAGTTACTTATTGAACAAAAATCAATAAGAATTTTGTAAGATTTAAAGTAATATATATGTATATATATGACTATTTCCATATGAAATTATTCGTGCTAGTGGTATGATGACTCAACGAAAAATATACATTGATATGCACATTACTTTTTTATTATATAACTTTTTTTTTATAGCATACCCGTATTTGTTTTGCCTGTTTATTGTTTTCAAATTCGTTTTCAACTTAACTGAAGCTTTTTTCAAGAAAATCACATATTAAAAGAAATTTGTGGCGCCATCTACAAAGGCATATTGAATTTTTTTTTTTTCTTGTGAAAGATTGACAGTTACACTCAAAAGAGATTTGAAACTTATAAATAGAAAAAACAAGCGAATATTATTTTATCGAATATCTATCCATAAAATTACTATGAATCTCAAAGAACCAAAGAACATTTTATTGAATCGTCAGATGATTAGTCTACAGACAAATCCAATCATGCATGAGCGTTAATGTGTTTTGATTGGTCGATTTGTATCGATTATTTCTCGATAGAAACACTTTTTTGAAAAAAACTAAAAGCACAGTTAGATAGAGAACAGTTTTCTCTATTGACCTGTATAAATCAAAAGTTCGACCCATTTTTTTAGCAAGGAAACGTGGTACATAGCGCATTTGATATTGAATTGCTTAACACGTAATTCTTTTCTTTCTCTGTCGGCTGGCAACACGGATAAGCTTAGTAGATAAGAAATTATATTCAGCCAAATGCATATTAATTAACCATACATTACTTCAATTAAATAGCATTTAAGCAGTCAGATTATTTCTTCTCTGAAACGACAAAGAATACGTCGAAAATATTAAATGTAATTTTTACCAAAATAGTTTCTGATTGTTTTTAATCTGATAATATTATTGCTGATACACATATTGTATTTGAGTTTTAAAACGATCAACCATTTAAGAACAGTATTTTTTATGATGAATGACTCGTCACTTTGATATATGATAAAATAATATATCAACGGTTTTTCTAAGCATAGTTTTTACACTAAGATGCATTCGTAATATTTTTTTAATATTTTGTTTTAATCAACTTAACGTAAAAAGAAAAGAAAAATATCTAGAGCAACAAGTATAAGTAATGAAGCAAGAACGTATTTTTTTCTGCGCAATATATGACAAAACACATCATTATCACCTATCTTTCTAGTTTAAGACCATATCGAGTTATGAAATATATACATTCGAATATATCTAAGATCGCCTACTAATAAATATTGTGGTACTAATAAGTTGCAGAAGGAGAGTAATTAAATGTCGAAAGTGAAAATGTCAAAAAAATATAAATCTTTGTAATTACTTGGTAAAAAAGCACTTTTTCTAAGTTTTTATCAATAAGATGTAATATGGCAAGCATGCACACAGCACAACAGTGAGGTTGAAGGTGAAATCTGTGACTAAAAAAGATTTGGATTTCGATATTTAACCACCAAATCGTTAGATATAATAAAAACTATATATATATTTGATTCAAAATTCATCTCTTCTTTTGCAACATTAAATGAACTTTATTGAGATTTACACAAGTATCAATCGATATATGAGTTTTGTTACTAAGATATAGTACTATCAATTATTTTTACATTTTATTAACCGATAGATTATAGTTTGTAAATACTTTAACCTTAGTTTTCAATAATGCAGGTATGCCACTTTTTTAGTCCCTATCTTCTAAAAGAATATCTCGAGAAGACATAGACAAATTTTCTCGAAGAACTACGAGAGAAATTTCTTGAAAATCTACGATAAGAATTATGATTACTATAAATAGTCTATATACAATGCCATTTATTATCGTATTTACATGTGCTTCTCATCAATGATGTGGAGTTACTTTCGTCTTCTCGGTGCCGTCATAACTAGAAATATGTAATTGACTTTTTTTTACGACTAATACTTATTACTGAAGAGTTGTTCTTTTGGTTAATCTGACAATAAAATTGACTCTCTTAAGTTGATAATCGTCGCTAATGTTGCTATTAAGATTAACTTAGACACCCTCTAATATGTTTTTCGCGTAGTCTTGGGAGGCTTAATTACAGATTTCTTGGTTACTCAATCAAAAGTCTTTATAACTCACCAAGGATTTCGGAAATGAGAATCAATTGATGATCCTGATTCATTCATTTTCGATTATTAATTACATTGAAATCAATCAATTCTTTTTGTATGCATTGACGTTGAAAACATTGATACCATATTAAAAGAAAAAACTGATTAAATTTCTTTTATTTCTTTCGACTGTAATCTACTCGAGAATGTTTTACTTATTTACGTTTTAAATTGATTACTGAGATCAATGAACAGTAATGCTATGATGAAAATGATCTTATTCATTCGAAATCATACAGCACATATTAATTTAATCAACAGTTGATTTTATGAGCAAAAAATAAATGATAAGCTTTATTCTACGCATGACCTTTGATGTCACATTATTCCTTTCACTTTACAGAGAGCAAGTTTTGATTACTAACGCCACCTATTTAATATTTCTCATATTAGAAGACAAAAAAAAACATAACATCCATTCGTAGTCGTCATTAGTTAAAAAGGTTTGCCCATGAGATGGTCGCTCATTGTTCGTCATCCGATAATTTGTCTTATTTGTTGTTGATAATTCTCTTGATTGTTTATAGAACCAACTGTTTTCCAATGTCAATGAAAAAAAAAATTTTTTTCTTGATTATTTTTAGAATGCGTCATAAATTACAAATTTAAAATAAAAAGAAAAGATATGAGTAATGATACGGGCAAATCACCCGTTGAACAAACTCAATCTCCTACACTAAATTCCGAAATAAAAATTTTTTATTATATTGATGATCAAGATCCTCCTTATTTAACAAAATTAAATTTAACCGAATTACCACGTTTAAAAGATTTTAAAAATGCTCTTGATCGTAATTGTACAAAATATAAATTTTTCTTTGCAACAAATGATCCATCAATTGGTAAAGTTAAAGAAGAAATAATTAATGATGAACAAATTTTACCATTTGATACACCAGATCGTATTCTTGCTTATCTTGTTTCAAGTGAAGGTAGTACAACGTCAAGTGGTGGTGGTGGTGGAGGAAATAAACAATCTAAACAAAATCATCATCATCAACATCATGAACGTGATGATACAATGAAAACATCAACAACAAATAGTTCATTTAATATACAACAACCACGTTTACAACGTGCAAGTCGACGTTATGGATCAGTAAATAGTGCTGATCAACAAAAATATTTTCTTAAACAACAACGAGCTATTAATGATGATATTACATCAATTCCAAATAGTGATATAGAATCAACAACCTTTTTAGATGAAACAGAAGATGATAGGTTTGTTGAATTGATTATTAAAAAAATTGTTTCTTTTTTTTTTTTTGTATAAAGTGAAAGATTTTTTTTGTTAGATGTTCAACTGTTACAGATTCAACGACAATGTCATCAAGATATCATGGTTATAATCGACCTCGTAGACGAAAACATCGATTACCACCTGGACTTGATCGAGTAATTTTTCTTCTGCTATTATTTTGTTTCCTTTTTTTTTTTGTAAATTTATTTTATTTCTATCTTGTTTAGGCTTCATCATTTAGTAGTCTTAATTCAGATTCAACCATGACATTAAATATAATAACGGTAACACTTAATTTAGGTATATATATATATATATATTTATTTAATAGTTTTTGTTTTTATTTGAAAAATTTATAATAAATAATTTTATTTTTCTTTCAGATGCAGTCAATTTTTTGGGTATTAGTATTGTTGGTCAAAGTGATAAAACAGGTGCAAGTGATGGAGGAATTTATGTTGGATCAATAATGAAAGGGTAAAAATCAATAATATACAAAAAAACAAAGACATCAATTTGTTTTTTATTCAGAGGAGCAGTAGCTCAAGATGGTCGTATTGAACCTGGCGATATGATTCTTCAAGTAAATGATATTAGTTTTGAAGGATTATCGAATGATGATGCTGTTAAAATTCTTCGTGAAGCTGTACAAAAGCCAGGGTATATTTGTATATAAATCTATAAATTTAAATTTTCCAAAAAGTTTTTCAATAATCTAGACCTATAAAATTAGTTGTTGCTAAATGTTGGAATCCAACACCACGCGGTTATTTTACACTGCCACGTCATGAACAACCACGTCCTGTTGATCCATTATCATGGCTTGCACATACACAAGCTGTACAAAATACATATAACAATCCTCAACATCAATTATTACTTCATCATCAACCGAATTATCGACAATCAATACTTAATTCAACAGCAAATATGAATTCAACTATATTAAGTACAAGTAATACAATGGGTGATAACGAAAGTAAATTTCTTTTTTTTTTTGAAATTTTATTGAGCATTAAATTTTGTCTTTTTTTCTCTGAAATAAAAAAGATTGTGGTTTTGATCTAAATTTAACTGTTAATTCGGATATGGATACAATTGTACGAGCTATGGCTGAACCTGACTCTGGTCTTGATATACGTGATCGAGTATGGCTTAAAATACCTATTCCAAAATCATTTCTTGGTCAGGAAAAACAAAACATTTATTTTTTATTTATTTCATTGATAAGTAATAAATAAATATATATATATATATATTTAGGATCTGATTTGGTTAATTGGCTGTTCGAACATGTTGATGGATTTGTTAATCGAAATGATGCTAGAAAATATGCTTCATCAATGCTTAAAGCAGGTTATATTCGACATACAGTTCATAAATTGACATTTTCTGAACAGTGCTATTACATTTTCGGAGATCTTTATTCGCAAGGTAAGATATTACGAAATACGAATTAATATAGAACTCCTATATAAATAGAAGCAATACATGTATAGCTTATATAGGAAGTATTAAATGGTTTCTATTGACATAGAATTCGTTAGAAAGAAAAAGAAATTCATCGTTGCTATACATATGTCAGCTCTATTCGTAAGGAATACGAAGAAAAAAAATGAATTGTGAATGATCATTTTGTACAGAATCTTTCTAATTGATTTAAAAGAAAAAAACTTGATCATCACTTATCTATCAATTAAGACTTGTTGTTTTTACAGAATACTCCAAAATTAACGAAATATCTGTTCTGAAAAAGTTTATATACATATTATTTTTAATAAAAATTACGAATAAAAACCTTATGTTGCATATCATTAACCCAATGACTAAACTAGTAGTTGTATAATAATTAAATTCTCTCATTACACTGATTGCGTCTTACTAGGGAAGTGCTCTAGCTGAAAAATAGCTTTTGAGTTGAGACTGTATACATTATTGAGGTTCTAATAAGCTATAAATACACTGAAAAAAGTGTGTACCTTTAGCTTATTGATATTGTGGTTTCTGTCAGGAGGGTTAGAAAAATTGATTTTCAAATTTCAACTTGAAATTTTGCATAGAAATACGACTTGATGATAATAGTTTATTGTGATAGTTTCAGATCATTTCATTATTCGTATCTCACATTAAGATATATTTCTATGCAGAGTTGCAAAATTGAAATTCAAAAACAAATTTTTCTAGTGTTTCTGAAAGGGATCTCGGTATTGACTTAAAGAAAAAACTATAAAAATTCTGTATCTCCGCAGCAATAAGCTAAGAGTATGAACTCTTTTTTTTTAGAATATTCATAGCTCATTTGGGTTTACATAATGCACATAGTCTCGACTGAAAATCTATTTATCAGTTGAAAAACTTTCATCGTTCCCTCATAGAGTTATGATCGTTGTATCAAATTTTCGACTTACAGTCAACTATTCATAGAAAAAATTCAAAAGATTGACATTGTCATCTGAATATTTCACCAATAAATAAGTCTATTGACCTTTATAATATCCTAAAAGTTTTACCTAAACTAGATGATTCTTTCTCAACATCTTGAATATTGAAAAAAAGTTGGCTTTATGACTTTTTTGTTGTATATGATTGTGTTTTTGAATATTCAATATTTCGACAAGAAACCGTTAGTTTTGGTTGGAACTTTCAAGGTATACATTTTTATGAACAGAAATTTAGACAAAAAAATTCTTTCTTTTTAACTTTTCTCTAAAAATATACCTTGCCATAAGTAAAAAAACCCGATAAAACGCTCATAACTCCATAAGAAATGTGTATTTGGAAAAAATTCTCTTCAACTTTATCGAATCTCATTGAGTTCTACCTATACTTCGATTGACGATTAATACTTGAATATATTTTCTCTTAGGCTAGGCTTAATATATACAAATAAACTGAGTTTATATATTTATTTTTAGGAATATCTCAGTTAACACTTGACGAAGAACCTGAGGAATATGAATCTGTTTCGGATCAAACAAGTACTGATCGTCGTAGTGGCGATTCATTATTAATTACACCACGACAAAATACTGTAACAACATTTGGTTTTGTCGATAAAAATAATGCTCCACTTCAATCACCTTCTCATTCTTTACTTACTGATACACATAATTCAGGTGAGATAAGTACAAGAAAAAAATCTCAAATCAATTAAAATTTTATTATTTTGCACAATATGTCCCATGCACTATCTATGTATTATATCTAGTTATGTTAACGAAAAATTCTCATTGTCGACATTTTTCATGTTTGGATCCGACGATAATATGCAGCAATAATAATGATGACAATACTGTAAAAACATCTTCATCACCTGTTGAAGTTTAATTATATTATTATTACTATTATTATTATTATAATTATTATTAAACATTAGCCAGATGTCAACGGTGGTGCTGCAAAAAAATATTATTTTCTCTATGAATTTTTTCTTTCTCTCTCTTTGTGTCACAAATATGTTTTTTTGCAATAAAAAAATCTCAATGCTTTTTTTTTTTTTTTTGTAGTCAAATATATCCTGATAATTATTATTTGTTTCAGGTTATGCTGGTGTTAAATCATTTTCAGCATCATCAAATAGTAATAAAACTCGAAAACTAATTAATATACCTAATAAATTACGTGCAAGTAAAGAATCATTTCAACGTGCGATGACAAATCCATTACCACAAGAATTTTTTGTTGATGTTATATAATTTATCAGATGAATTTTGTTTTGTTTTATTGTATACAATTTTCATTATAGTTTTAGAAATATATAAATATGTTTTTAATTTTTGAACACTTGTTTTGCACTATAAAATAAAATATTAGTTTTGTTTTTGTTTTGTTTATATAGATGTTTAGTACAAGAAATTCTTTACAACGTCGAACAGGTCGTTTTGGTGTTGGACGTTTTGAATATTTAAAACAATTATTAAATGAATATGAAAATTCATTAACAAATAATGAAAATAAACTTCAAATATTAGCAAATTTTGCTAATTTTTCTTATGATCCAATAAATTATAATTATCTACGAGAATTAAATATAATTGATTTATTTGTTGATTGTTTACAAATGCATACAGATGATAATTTTGTACATTATGCATTAGCTGGTTTATGTAATATGAGTACAGATAAAATAAATAGTCAATTAATTATTGAAAAAACTCCAACAATTTTAACTTGTTTAATAAAATTTTTTTTTTCAAATCGATTTGATATTGTAATGAATACAATGGTAATATTAATGTTTTTATGTGATCATAATGAACAAATTAAAAATGAATTAATACAACGAAATGAAATATGTCAATGTTTAGAAAAATATTCACAATCAAAAGATATTAGATTATCAAATATGGCAAAAGTATTTTTACAAGATTATTTTTTAATAAATTAAAGAAAAACAAATCGGTGATTATATTTTTCTACTGGTGAAAATTGATTTGATAAATATAATTTCGTGTATTTTGATATTAGTTAAAAGAAAAAAAAAGAAAAAGAAAAACAAATTTGATGTAATTAATAGACATATGAACAAATTGGTTTGTTTTTTAATTAATTTGTGAATTTTTATTTATTCTACATCTCATTTAATATGATCTCTTATCTTCAGATATGGATGATATATTTGATGAAACCGGTGATGAGTTGACAGTAGCTCGACATGATACTCAATTAATTGAAACAATTCGTTTTAAAGATGGTTTTCGTGAAGGATGGGAATCTAGTGAACAAGATGCATTTGAAAATGGTTTTATTCATGGTTATTCTCTTGTAGCATCACTCGTATATGATTATTATTGGGAAAAAGAACGTTTATATTTACAAAATTCTTCAAATTCATTATTAAAAAAAGAATTAGAACAATTTGACATCGAATTTCATTCAACTATTGCTCAATTAAAAGTTCCCGATGAACTTAATGAAGAGCAACAAATTGAAACTATTAAACGATTAAGAATACAATTTGATGAACTTTTTTTAAAATTAAAATTTGAATTAACATCAATTAAATCTGTATAATTTTTCGTGTCTTGTTTTTTTTTTCATTTTGTTTTAGATGTTTATTCATCTTTTCGTTTTCTATTTTTTAATCATTCCAACTATTGTTTATAGTCAATGTTATTCAAAATCATCTCGAACATGGACATGTGATGGCAATTATAAATCAAATAATTTTACTTATCAAACAATTTTAAATAATCAACAATTAGAAAATTTCTTTTTAACTAATTATAAAACAGAAATATTTCGAATAGATAATTATCCATTAACATTACGTTTATTAAATGCAAGTGGAAATCAATTTCAAACAATAATAATAACATCAAAAAATCGTTATCAATCAAAACTTCGTCGATTAATACTTCAATCAAATAATATTGAACAATTTAATATTGATACAATTGTTTTACCAAATTCGTTGGAAAAAATTTCTTTAGCAAATAATAAATTAAAAATTATTGATGCACGTCTTTTTTCTCATTTAAAAAATTTAATTGAAATTGATTTAAGAAATAATCAATTAAAACGCATTTTACCAGATTTATTATTAAATAGAAATATTAAATTAAACAATAATCCACTTGATTGTCAATGTACTTCAGAAACCTATAGAATTATGTGTGAAAAAGCAACAAATGTTAAACAAATGACAGTAAGTCAGAAGGAAAGAAAAAATCTAAACAAGACCAATTTATCTAACGTAGGGTTAAGGCGAGCACATCTCTTCGAAAATCAAGTTAGCCTTCCTGAAGTTTATGATTCTTCTGCCATGTATTCTGTATCTCAGTTTTTGGTTATCTTAAAATTTTCAGTTGAAAATCGATGTTGTTTTCTTGCATATAATAAATCTCAACGATACTAAGTTTTTATTGGTAAAATTAAATTCATTATTTTCTATTTTCGTTTTTCTTATCTAGCATAATAATTTATTTAGATTGAAAGTAATAATTGTATGGCACCATATTATCATCCTCCTGCATATGATCCATTAATACCATCATATTTTCGTTTTTCAACATTTATTCTTATCTGTCCAATTAATGCTCAACCACCACCTATAATTATCTGGTCAACTCCATTTGGTAATTTAACATCAATCAACTCAACTAATATTGATCTATTATCATCAAATAATAATGATGAACCAATTTATGTTACAATAATAGCTTTAGCTGGTCCATTAACAGCTCGTACACAACATACATTGCATGCATTTAATGGAAGTCGTTTATCTGTAACAAAAGCACGTGCTGCTTTACAACATCGTATATCATGTTCTGGTATAAATATGCTTGGTACATATACATATGATTTTAATTTTGATATTGAAACTTATGTACAAAGTCGTGCTTTATGGCATATTATATATACAATGGCATTTGGATTTTTTATGGCTCTTGTTGCTGGTGCATTATGTGTTACATTAAAACGTACATATTATAATGGTGATAATTTAAGAACTCCGCCAATTTATCCAACAATGACACCAAATAGTGCTGCTCGTACACCACCAAATTTTGAACTTAATCAATGGTTATCATTAGCAGCAGCTAATATAAGTGGAACACTTGAACAAGTACGTGATAAACTTCGATTAGGTGTTCAACAAGTTAGTGAACATATGGGACAAACAATGGATCGTGCTACAGAATTATTTACTTATGGTGTACAACATGCTGGTGGAACTATTCGACAAGCTGCTGAAACGTAAGTTATTATCGTAATATTTTGAAAGAAAATACGAGAACGAAAAAAGGAAATTTTCTTTTTTATTTAAAATTTTAAGTTCTGCTGCATATCTTCATTCATTTCGTGAAACAAGTCAACAACGTTTAAATACTATGCGTGTACAAACATTATCATCATTACGTAATCCAGGTCATTTAATGCGTGCTGGTATGAATATACTTACAACACAAGTAAATTCTTTACGTGATTATTGTGGTGTTATAGCTGGTCATCCACTTCCATCAAATTATGCGATTCAACAACAACTTTATGATTTACAATATTCACCAGGACCAATGTTAAATTTACGTCGTAATCAAGTAACAACTATACTTGAAGAAGATGAATCTCTTGTTGAATCAGCATCATTAATAGCAGCAATGTATCGTACACCTTATGTTGGACATACAGCATCAATAATATCACCTAATGCATCAGGAATTGGTCAACTTGATACAGCTGATAATTCAGTATTATTAGCACTTAATAATTTTAATTCATTATCAAGAAATAATATAGTAGATAATGATAATTTAATAGCTCGAGGACAAATGAGTGCAGGTATTGGAACATTTCATGGTCATATGCATGATAATGATGATGATCTTATTAATGAACCCGAACGATTAACTATCTACGGTGAACACCGTCCAACGTGTTAAAAAAAAACAGCAAAGAAAAGCATTTATTCATGGATCTTCTTTTTTTTTATACTGTCAGATTTCTCAAAAAAAAAAAAAAAAAAAAAAAAATAATATTAACTTAAATCTTTTTTTATTCTTGCAATTACAGTCATGCTTATTCAGTCACGAACGTCTGGCATTGAAACATCTATTGTCTTGAAGAAGAAAAAAACAACATATACCGAACAGTGATTAAAGCTTTGAGTCCCGTTCTCTTTTGTTTTTAACTTATTTTCAATTTTTGCATGTAAATAAAAATATATTTACTAAATAAAAAAATTTTAAAAAAAAATTAGTTACATATTTTTAAAATTATTTTTTCTTTTTCTGTGTTTTCTTCTTCTTTCATTTCCAAACATTTTAGTATAATGAATGATATTGATAATGTACGTCGTGCTTTTCGTTCAAAATATTCATTTGATATACAACCAACATGGTTACAGCCATGTCTTGCTTGGTTACGTGATCAATTTCAATTAACAGAATTAACTAATAATTATACACTTGAAAAAATCTATAATCAATGGCTTCATACAGACATTTCTCTTATTGCTGATGCATGTTATTTACCAAGTGATTTAGATTTAAATGCAAAAAAAATTCAATTAAGTGGAAAATATGCATTACAAGTAATTTATTTTTCACTTTTTTTTCTTTGTCTATTGAGAAAATTAATTATAACATATGTGTCGAACGTATTTTTTAGATATCATGTTTTTTTTTTTCGTTTTCAACTGATTAAGAAGACTGATAGAAAGTATTAAAGATTTGATTATAATCAGAATGTTGTAATTTTTCTAAATCTATGTTCAAAATTTTTATGAAAATCATAAGTCAAGAATTATGAGCAAATCTTTGAAAGGTCTGAAAATAAAGTTTAGACGAGTTTTTATGCTTGATAAAATATCCCGGATAGACATGACATTTATTCTAAATGCATCCATAGAAAAAAGCAAATATGTCTCTATAAAAAAATATCTTGATCATCTGTTTTCCATAAGGCGTCTATTAACTATGGGAGTTTTGGTAAGAGATACGATTCTAGTCGAACTTCGTTTTTCATGTCCATGAAGTATTTGAGTGTTTTGAACAAGAAAGTCATGTAAAATGGACACATCTTGAGATCTATGCATGTCAAGCGCATGAACAAAAAAGTACTTTGACTTGGATTCACAATTTCTTGATTGTTTCTGATTGATAGCTGTAAGGCTCTCAGACCTTAATTGACTCTATAGAGAACAGTCTTGACCTTTATGCTGGGTAAAAAACTGCTAATAGAACGTATGTAATGAGAGACGTCCTTGTGGAGAAAGAAATCTACTATCCAGATGCTGTTCGAAAAAAAAAACTTAAAACGTAATGTAGTCAAGGAAAAGAAAGTAGAATTAATAAGTCGAAAAACAAAGAAACATTTTGTCTAAAATCTTTTTACACAACCTATTATTATACACGAAAAATAATGAACATTTAATAATCGTGAATTTTTTCCTACGTTGCATTTCTTTCCTTATAAATACTAATTTCAATTATTTATTATAGATCAATAGTATATTATGTATATCGGAATCATACTATAGTCAAGTTTTGAATATACATGGTGATCAAAATGAAAATGAACGAATTGATACAGATATAACTGAAACTCAACAATGGAAAGTGAGTGAGTGTTTTTTTTTTTTCTATGTTTATTGAAATCGATAGAAAATAAAATTTTTATTATAAATTCTTTAGCCACCACCAACTAAACGTGTTCTCTATTTGGAATTAACTGATGGTAAAATAATTCTTCGTGGATTAGAATATGAAACAATTAATGGTCTTGATCGTGATACAACATTACCGGGTGCAAAAGTAATCATGTTCTTTTTAATGTTTTAATTTTTTATAAGTATAATTAATTATTTCCTAGATTCTTGTAATTGGTCCAATAATTTTTCGTCGAGGAATGTTACTATTAACACCGAAAAATACACATGTACTCGGTGGTTATGTTGAAAGTTTACTTGATAAAAATGCTTCTATTGAAACAACATTAAATTCATTGTTAGTTTAATTAGTCATAATGGAGAAAAAAAAATATCGTTGATGAATTCATTCCTTTCTTTTTTTTTTTGTTTTCATGTAGATCAAAAACAGCATCAAAATTAGATGAAAGTCGAATGCGATTCAATCGATTAAATTTCAAAGTTCATCCACCGACTATTTCTAATGATACAACAAATACAATACCTGATAGACAAATAAATCAAGATGTTAGTTTAAATAATTATCAGTCTATTCAAATTTTGTATTCTAATTATTTTAGAATTTTCATGAAGATGAAGATGAAATGGATGAATTCATTCGACAAGCATATGCTGATGGGATGCTTAATGATGATAGTCATATAGCTCCGGAGCCTATTGATTATAATCCTCCTCCATTATCATACAATACTATTCAACCATCTACCACTATTACTAATCGAATTTCAATACCAATCAATCAACCAAAAGAATTGATTGTAATTTCGGATGATGATGATGATTATAATTTTTTACCACAAACAAACATTCCTTCAACGGAATTATCATTATCCAATAATCAAATATCTCATATTTCATTTTCTGCCCCTTCACCACTACCACCACCACCACCACCACCACCGGTACGATCTTCAGTTCCTAAAATATCTTTACCTTATACATATTTATCTCTTATTCGTCATCAAACATTTCTATCGAACACAAATTATCAAGACTTTATAATAAAAGGATGTTTTTCATCATTAATATCAAATCCACGTATAATTAAAAATGAATTTTATTTCGAAGCTTATATTAATGATGGTAGTGATTGTTTACCTGCTCAATTTGCACCTGATCTTCTTAGTCAACATATTGGTATAACTGCAGCAGAAGTATTGACAAAACGAAATGAATGTAAAAATGATATAGATCGAAAAAAACTTCAAACAAATGTTAATGATCGTTTCAAAATATTCTGTCATCCTTTGCAACATTTAATCGCCATAATTACGATAAGATTCTTTTCTGATAATGAAAAACCAATGGTGATTAAAATTGATAAAATCTAGTCAGATATTATTTCTTTTTCAATCAGTATACATATACTTTTTTTTCTTGTATATTAAACTGTTTATTGAACAAACGGATAGAGTAGTGAAATAAAGATTTCTATTTGTTTTTTGTTCGTATTTCAGATGATGATCGACGAATTATCATCGTTTCCAAAGAAAACATAAAGTTGTCGTGTAAGTTAAAAATCTATATGATACCTTGAATAAAATGTGTAAATTCGCTCTATATAACTTTAGTGTGAATCTAGATAGTTTTCCAAAAAAGAAAAACATAATAATGAACAAAATCAATATGTTCTTAGGAAGAAACTGACATGCAAATGTTTCCATATTACGATTTTGTATGAACATCAAAACTAGATTTCGATTAAACTAAGAATAAACGACAAGGACTTCATCATATCGTTTTCTACCCTCGATGAATGAGCAAAACTGAATGGCATATTTTGTAAACCACAATCTAAAAGCAATGTTGAAGTTTAAAGGTTAAAATTTGCACCATCCACCCTGCGTCACAGACTCGAGAGAGAAAAAACATATGAACTTCAATCTTGAAGTCTGCTGGTTTCCATTCTCATAGTCCGTATATCAACAAAGTCTTCTTATAAAAAATGAACTACTTCCTTATTGTTTTTCTGGCGGATTAAATAAAAGAAGGATAAAGAAATGAGTCCAAAAATAGATAGAATAAAATAATCTCTCTATGATTAGCAACAATAGCTACATTGTGTTTCATATTTTAATCCTACACGGATTATGTTAATAGGTTTTTTTATTGAGAGCTTTCAGACTTAATATTCAATACATTCAAAATTGAATTTTGTTCGATTTTGATAGATTACTTTGTTGTAGTAGTCAAACACATTAATATTCTAATGAAAAGAAAAAAAAATTCACTATCTTGAAATAAATGATAGTTTGTATTTATACCTTGTGCTATTTCAATTTCGAAAAGTTTGAAAATCTAAAAACTTAATAGTCAAACTAGTTTTGACTCTAAAAGTTCTTTTGATATAAAGATGATCATGTCTCATGAATAATATGTCATCAGTAGAAACCTTTGTATCTTTATCTTATCTTATCAAGATCTATTTAGAGTTTAACTACGAAGTTATAAATGATGAGATACTCGAAATAATTGTTTCTTTTTATCTGCAAAATGAACAGCTGAAATTCAGAATATTATCTTTATCTTGTATTTGTTGTAGTAGAAACTAAAAGTCTACTAGTGGAAAATGAAATTGCATTTGTTATTAGTAGAACATGAAACTTCAATTTCTACTAGTAGAATTTTAAATTCTACTGAATTTTAATTTCTACTGCAACATATTCATTTAGTAACAAAAAATAAATAAATAAACAATTGACAAACAATTTAACGATAATCAATATTTTAATTACCGTATGCAAACATCATTACTATCTTCTCAATCAATAACAGTCAATTTGGATTCACCATATAAAATATCCACTGAGCAACTTCATGTTCTACCAACAAGTAATATTTCAATATCATTTCGTTTTTTACGTCCTGGAGATCAATCGGAAGTAAAATCTCTTTGTTGTGATTGGTTTCCTATTGAATATCCTGATCTATGGTATGATGATATTGTACATGATCCAAAATATTTTGCTTTAGCTGCATGTGAAACAAATACACAACGAATAATTGGTTTAGTTGTTGCTGATATACTTCCATTAGGTAGTTGTAATCGTGAAGATCAACAAATTTTACATAAATCATTTTCATTAACAACATCGGTGTGTTATATATTAATATTAGGTGTTGAAAAAGAATATCGACGGCAAGGTTTAGCTGGTATATTATTACAACATTTATTAAATGCATTATATGAACGTGCAACATGTAAAGCTGTTTATTTACATGTTTTATTTTCAAATAAACAAGCTATTAAATTCTATCAATCAAAACAATTTCAATATCGTGTACATTTACCACATTATTATTGTATAAAAGGTGATAATTTCGATGGTTACTGTTTTGCTCTTTATATCAATGGTATAGATTTAATTTTCTTGTTTTTATTATTTTTTTTTAAATGTAATATAAATTTTGTTTTTGTTTAGGGGGTTATCCACCATTTACTCTAGGTGATTTCTTTTCTAATTGGTGGACCTATTTAATAGGAACAAATCCTTGTCGTTTAATTCAAACATTAGGAAATATTGTTGCAAATAGATTTATATTTACAGATAATCATCAACGCACATCATCTTACAAGCAAATATCACGAATTATTTGATCTTCATAGCATATATATATATATACTCAACTTGTGCTTTGTCCAAATAATGTAATACAAAATAATTGGCAACAGAAAATAATATTGAAGAAATGAACAAAAGAGTTTTGTTTTTTTCTTTTGTATTTTTCTTCTCACAGTGATTAAAATTCATTTTGATTTTATTTCTATAAAATCTATAATAGATAATTTTATGACAAATCAAAAAAAAAAATTGTTGCATTCTATTCAATAGGATTCTAATTCCAGATTAATTACAACGATGAAATGCCATCGGTTCAGGTCAGGAAATAATAGGAAATGCTTACAGTTGATTTGCTGCTATTGATTAAAATTAAAAAAGCCTAGACAAGGATGTCTTTTTTAAGGTCATAATACTCTATTTTGGTCGTCTTCGAGAACTCATTGGTACATCAAGTGAAAAAATTGACTTTGATTCTTCGATTTCGTATACACAACAAACTATCCTTGATCATATTATTCAACATCGTCCAATGTAAAGAAAAACAAAAAAAAGAAATTTATAATGTTTTTCTCTTTTGCTTTACATCACTTTTCTATTTCTAATATTTAGTTTAAAATCTTTTTTAATTACAAATTCTTTTCGTTTGGCTGTAAATCAACAATATCTACTTGAGACTGATTTAGTTCAATTCAGTGAACAAAGTGAAGTAGCACTTCTTCCGCCGTTTGGTGGCGGCTAAAAAAACAATGAACTACGTAAATCTTCAAACTGAACCAATCAAACTAGACGAGCTTTATAAAAGGGTTGTTGCGCCTTCATGTGGTGCTATTTCATCTTTTATTGGTTGGTATTGATCTTATTTTTACATATATATATATAGATGCATATTTTCGGTTCATTAATCGTTTTTCTTCGTGCATAGGCATTACACGAGACAACTTTGAAGGCCGTCGAGTTTCTCGTCTTTCCTATGAAGCTTATGAACCAATGGCTTTACAAGAATTGAATCGTTTATGTGATGATGCTCGGCAACAATTTGCCAATATTGAACACATAGCAATTTGTCATCGCTTAGGGTTAGCATTTAATTACTAATATTTTGAAGAGAAACAGAACAAAATGGAAGCATAGAATTAATGCTAAAAATACTTAATAGGTTAAGATAAAATAAGAATCTACAGATCGATTAAAAAGATAAGACTGTCATGAATTCATTCATTCATTCATTCATTTTTTTTTTTGAAAAATGCAATTTAATACCTTTCTCGATTTGTCAAGAGAGAAACAGATTAGAAAAAGAGATTTTTTTCTTTTATTTAATACACATAGTTTTTCTTTTGTATTTCTATGTATGTAGCGACGTGTCAATTAGTGATATATCCGTTGCTATTTACGTTTCGGGACCTCATCGGCGTGATGTATTGGATGCCGTTTCCTTTCTCATCGAACAGCTCAAAGCAAATGTTCCAATATGGAAAAAAGTAATGTTTCTCCTTTTTTTTTCTTATTGGCTTTCTTCTTTGTCATGTATATATACAATAGTTCAATTCAATTATTTTGTATAGGAGTTCTACGAAGATTATAAAGACAACATCAATAACAATATGTCAACATCTTCTTATTGTTGGAAAGAAAATAAATAATTGTTTTTTTTTTTCTTAATATTTTTTGTTTTGTTTTACTTCACATAAATACAAATACAAACATAGAGATACACATGCTAAACAGTACTAATGGGTCTATTTCGACATGGTTCAGGATGGAGGGCGCCGAAAATATTCAATTCAAATAGGCACATTAGAGTTATGACAGATAACCAAACAACAATAAGAAAAACACCGTAAAATTTTGTTAAACGACATCGATTGACAAAGAATGTTATAAGAAATGTAATAAGTGCAATGAACAAAACAATTGTTGAATATACTAAACCTCGTGAATATATTTCAACAAAAAATGGTTCATTACTACTTGATGATGTTAATATATCATCATTTAAAGCCGCAATAGAATTCGAAGCACTTGGTGATAATACTGCTAATGATGAATCTCTAATTATTGATGCTGTTTCAAGTGATGGTGGTTGATGAGTAAAACGCATTAAATTTCGAAATAACCATGGTATACCTAAACCCATAAGAATATCAAATACATTTGAACCAATTGAACCTGCAATAGCCATTTCAGGATGACCACGTCGTGTCATAACAATAGCTGAAAAAATTTCTTCTATTGATGAACCAAATGCTAATACAGTTAAACCCATAATACTATCCGGAATATGTAAAGTAAAACCAACAATAACTACAAGCCATACAAGAAGATAAGCAAGACCAGCAACCTAGATTAAAAAAAAGATATCAAAAAAAAAAAAAAAGGAAAGCTTTTATAAAAACATATCAGTCATTAGTCTAGTTCCATAAATGTATACATACAAAAAAACAAAAAGAATCGAAAGGAAGTGGTGTCTCTCTGTCTCTCTTTCGGCATCTCTCTCGTTTTTTCCGGTATTAGATGTGCTCGTTTTTTAAATGTTACTAACCCAAATCGTTGACATGACAAATGTAAGCATATAATAATTATGAAAAACTTCTTTTCGACAATCAGGTATTGTTATATGCATAAGTAAACGAACCGGATACATCAAAAACCATTTTAATATTTTATATTTTTTTATTGGTAATTTCAATGGATCAAATATTTCTGTTGCATTAGCAACGATTTGTTGATTATCAGGTGTATCTTTAAGACGTTTTTTACTTGGTTTATAAGGTGTACGTCGTTTTCTATTATCATCACCAGAACTTCCTACTGTATGTGTTCCTGTACTCATCATAATTGATTCTGAAACTGATCGACCACGTGTTGTTAAATTTTCTTCTAATTCAACAGTATTATTTAATGCTTGTAATTGTTCTTGAGGATTTTCATTTAATGTAGATGCTTTTTGATTTGATGAATTACCACGTATAAGACGTGATAAACGATCATTAAATTTTAAAATAGCCACATAAACAAAATAGAGTAAAACTAATGCAAATGCTTCATACCAAAATACACGTTGATCATAGATAATTATATAAAGAACAGCAACAGCAATACAATAAAAACCTGCATCTCGTACAATAGGATATGCATCAAGTTCACATACAGTTGTCGAAATAAGTGCACATAATGCAATGACAAAAAGAATATTGAAAACAGCTGAACCGACAATAGTACCCACTTAAAACAAAACAAAAAAAAACCATGATATTATGAAGCTTTTCATAAATCTTCAATGATATAAATGTTTGGCTGCTTTTTTTTTTTGCCTTATATAATATTCATAACATAACATTTTCTTTTGTTTGTTGCCTATAGTTAAATTAAAAATTGATTATCCATCTCATTTAACTATAGAATATTACACTTTTTTTCTTGGTACAAAATTCTTTATCGATTCGTTAACAATGTTAGAGAATTTAAAGCTATAAAAAAAAAACAACTATTAACTTACAAGCAATATCCGATTTAACAAAAAAAACTCCAACGATTGACGTAAAAAATTCTGAAGCTGATGTTGCCAAAGCCATGAAAGTTGCACCAGCAACATCCTATTATTATAAATACGTTATAAAATAGTATGTGTGCGTGTCTGGGGATTTCAAAATACGTACTGGTGTTAAATTAAAATTGCAACTTATTCTTTCTAATGCTGATGCAAAGTAATCATCACAAACAATTTCAATGGCTGCAAATGAATATAATATAAGAACTATATAAACAAGAACACCACCACGACGACGTTGTTCATTTGTAAAAAATAATGGTGGAAATTCATCAATGGATGCTGATTCACATTTATTTGTTGAATAGGTTGTTGTTGTTGCTGATGATAACCATTGTTTAGAATTTGTTTTATTTATTGCAAGAGTATTTGTTGTTGAAAAAAATATTTGAAATAAAGTCGTAAAGAGAACAATTAAAATATATTGTCGTCGAATCATATCAATTGATAAAAGATATTTTAAATAGTGAAAATGTAAATTATATTTTTCTTCATCTATGTATTATGTTACAAAAAATAAATAAAATCAATATATAAACCTTGACGTTAACTAGTTTAATAACTTTCATATAGGAAGTACTTTATGACATGAATGACGTTATATTCATTTCATCTATTATATTCCGTTGATCTCATGTAGGAAAAAAATTACTTTTAATTTTAGTGCTGTCATTCACATTTGGTTTAAAAAAAAAAAAGAAAAGACGACACATGAACAATGACATTGAAAATAATGATGCCAAACAAATATGAATTATTGAAAGGAAAAATATATATAGATTTTCTCGTCTTACCTGTTGTCAGTAACATTACCCATGTTTCTTTAATAATTTTTTCCTCTCAATAGATCTGGTCACTTCTATTCTTACTTTTGAGAAGTACTCAATGGGCTGAGGATGAGAAAAGTACTTTTTTTCGTCTTATCTGACTCTTCCTCTAAGTAGGCTTTTATATTTACAAGCTACTTGGTCGTCTGCTCTAGCAAAGGATCACTATCACATCACTTATACGTCATCAACCTCATCATCATCAGCATCGTTGTCATCTTTATCAATGTCGCGATGACTAGAGAGCAAGAGAGAGAGAGAGAGAGAGAGAGAATGGGAGCAGCAACAGCGACTCTATATACACAGCGAACAAAATTATAATCATAATAAAAATGATTGTTTTTCCTTTTGCGTTCCCGTTCTCTACAACTTTGGTCGTTACCCGTTTGTCACTCAGCGTTTCTCTCCCCCTTTCATCTCTCGTTTTCTCTGTCTTCTTTCTCGCTGTGTGACACCAGGAAGAAAAGGATAGCTAGCTAGTAGAGTCTATTGTATGAGAGAATAAAACGACAGGCAACATAACGGGCGATGACGAGGCTACCAAGTCGGCTCTTCTTCTTCTTCATTGCCTTCTTCTTCTCCTTTTTTCGTATTTCTTTGCTTGTCACATAGCGTAGGATACTAGCGAACAGGATCTATTGCTGATGTTTCTACTACCGGAGGCAAAAGCAAAGCATATGAGCATAATTTACGTTAGCACGCATTTTTCGAAATCAGAAATAAGAGAGTCTAAAAAGACAAAAAGAACAAGCAGAAAGACAAACTAAAATGAAGAAATTGTGTGAAGAGAGAGAGAGAGAGAGAGAGAGAGAGAGAGGCAACATGAGTATGAAAGAGATTAACTCTTCGTCCGGAAAATTCTGTCAAAGGATCTTAACAACAAACGACGACATTGAAAAATGGTCGTAGATTGAGAAGATACATTCTATATCACGTCATATTATACTACATGATATAAAGATATATACACGAGCAGCTGCTAATGATTTATATTAGATTATATTATAGTTTGTTTATGTTATTACATGTTGACACATATTCATAAGAAGTTTTTGTATGCTTAAAGCATCATGTAGTACCAATTTTTCTAATTAGTTAAGAGATACTTGTTAACAGGGTTGACATTTCTTCATGAAAAATAAAAATAAAAAAAAATGAAAAGAATGTTATTTTTTGTTATTGTGGTTATTTGTTGGTTATGGTAACGTCTCATGGGATACAATCGGCCCGTTCAATCAACTTAGCGCGTGCATTGCACACATACACATTCAGATGTCATTTTATGTGTGCAACGATTGAATTGAATGCGAACATCCGCTTATCGCACTTTATTGTGTCACTTCTGCGTTCGTCGACCATCAAAAAACCAGAAAGATAGAAGCATCAAGTTGTCTATATTCGAACAGAAATGCATGACATTTCCTAACAAAAGTCTATACAACTGTTCGTTCTTCTAAATGGGACCAAAATAATCTCGATATACACTTGGTTATTATTGTCATACAAATTCCACAAAAATAACAAAAAAAAACACTAAAGTTCTCTTTATTAATTATATATATATAAACTAAAGATAGATGTGAGTATTTATACTACATAAAACAATAAAAGATGCTTTACAAATATGAAACCATACCTATATTTTTCAAAACGACAGAATTATTTTCTAATATGATTATAACATATGCTAATATAGTATTGTGATAAAAGTTCTATTGTAATAAGATCTAATAACTCAAATTAGATGAACAAAAAATTTATTATTAGAGACACGTCTTTGTCACTTTTTTTCTTTTATATTTATTTAAGTATTCTATTGCAATCTAGAGAGGATTCGCTGTACTTAGAATGCATTAAGCGCATTTTTTTTTCAATTTTTCTTACTATAGAAAAAAATAGATATAGACTAACAAAATAACATAGTGTGGCTTATTCTACGTTTTTATTTGCCAGTAAAAATGGCAAAAAATTCATTTCATTAGCAGTTTACTTGTCTATTTAACTAGAAAGAATGTCTTGAAGAGCAACATACTTTATTACATGTTTTTTCTTTTACTAGTCTTTCTTTTTTTTTTTTTCTATGAGCAAAAAAGAAAATATTCAGAATGTCAATCAAGATTATTGGTTGTAATAAAAATTATTTATAATGTACTTTTTTTTATAAGATTTTTATTTGAATATTTTCTATGTTTACAATAATCAATTGAATTTTGAATAAAAACAATTTACACTATCTCATCATGCTAAAAGAATACTAATAAAAGTCTATGGGGATTGATCATAGAAGAATTTTTAAATTAATTTTGGAACCTCGATTATATATATATATATGTCTGTGTACCAAAATAGAAACTATTACTAAATGAAGTCGTCAAAAACATCCGAAAGAAAACAAGATAAATATTCATTATCTTGTAAAAACTAATTCCCTAGTTATTAAGTAAAAAACCGGTCATCGATGTAGAAAATTTATGACTACAAAAAAATTTCTTCTTGAACGCAAACTGAATACATATTATTGAAACCAAGATGCTCAAATTAATCAGAATATATTTGACATAAGCTTAAGGATGATTTTATAATACTCCATAAAAATAATGACTTTTCTGTTTTATTTTTAAATATAGTTTTTTATTCATAAATAACATGTTATTAATATAAACGTCAGTCTACAATGAAATCGAAAAGAAGAACAAGTTTAATATAATATCCAAATCAATTTTTTTATATTCTCATCATTTCTATATGAAATTCAATATGCCTAGAACAAGTGTTACGTATCTTATTTCATTTTAATACTAAAAAAATTATCATAAAACATCGATTTGTCTTATTTATAATCCCTTACCTAGAAACAATAAAATTTATGTCATAAAAAATACATACGAGAAAAGGCAAGAACAAGGTTTTGTTTAAAAAAAAACAGCAGACTACAACTACAGAAAAAAAAAACAAGAGATGATAATCATCATCTTATGTGTACTGAATAGCAATGTTCTTTTTTTAGACCACTCCACCCATCCAACTAGGTAATGTACCGTTGGCTTGTGGAAATCCACCCGGAAAATTGAGATTAAGTCTTTTAATAGCTCGTCCTTGTGCACGAATAGCATAGAGTAATGCCGCATATTGCATAAGTTTTTCTTCACCTCGACTACAATGTATTGCACGTTCATATAAATTTGCTGCTTCTTCAAATTGATTTCTATTCAAAAAATTTCAAAATAAATTTATACAAAAAATTGATATCTACCGATTGCATTTAAATATAGCAAACATTGTCAAAACGGTCTCATTCGATGGATCAATTTCAAGAGCTTGCGTAAATAATTTTTCAGATTCATTATTATTCGATGAATCAGTTGACATTAAACAATTACTAAAAGTAGAATGAAATTTAAAAAAAAAAAGAAACAATTAGAACAACAACTAATTTACATACGCTTTAAGTGCTAATAATGTTGGATTATTTGGAATTTCTTTTATAAATCTATTCAAATATTCGAGTGCTTTATCTTTTCGATCATTATCCAAATAACACTAAAAGAAATATTTATTTTAAAAAAATTTTTATCAAATTTATTTATTTACAGATATTAATGCAAGTGCATAATAAATATCTTGTTTGCATGTATCGTAATATTCTTCAAAACTTGCTAAGGCTTGTTCAATACGTTGAGGTTTATTTTCTTTATTTCCTATTTTTGCATCATTAATAAATTTTTGATACTTAGCTCGAAGATTTGTTGGTGATATATTAAGTGCTTCAAAAAAATCATCATGAGCTTCAGAATAATTTTCTAATAGTATTTTAAGCTAAATATAGATATGTTTATAAAAAAAAAATTATTTAAAAAGAAGAATAAAAATAAAACATACCATGCCACGATGAATATATGGTGCACATGCATTTGGATGAGTTTTAACACATTGATCATATTCATATATTGCTCCTTCTAGATCACGTTGATGAATTTTTGTATTAGCACGTTTTAGTTCTCCAATTATTTTCATCTAAATTTTCTAAGATTTATTAAAAACTACAGAAGAATATACAAACTTTTTCTGTAACATTTGAATCATTAATAACATTATCAAAATCATCTAATGCTTCTATATAATTACCCATAAGCAAATAAAATGAACCACGAAGTAATAATGCCTGTAATTTATATGGTGATGATATTGATAATTCAAGTTCTTGTGTACATAATGATGGTATATCAGTAAAACGACATTGATCATATGCTTGATAAGCATGTGCTAATGGACTATCTGGTTGTATTGTACGAACTTCATTCATAAATAACGAAGATAATACTGGATCATCTTCAAATTCATTTAATGATGTACGAACACTATCGCTTGATAATTCTGCAACACTCTTTAGAAAATAAAAACATCAATGAAACAAAAAATCAATCAAACAATTTCATATTTACTGGAGGTAATTTTTCAATATATCGTCTAGCAATATTAGTAAGTACTTTGTCAGCAGCCATAATATATGCTGGTTGATATGAATCGAGAAAACATACAGTTGAATAATCTAGATAAAATATTGTTTATTATCAAAATTAATTAGAATGAAAACTAACCTTCAAGTGCTAGT